CCTAGAGGGTATTTTTGTCTCGTTCTTGCACGCTGTCCATGTGTCTTGGAAGAGGTGGGAGTATCCACACTTTGCCGATCGACTAATTAGTCCAGTCGAGTGGCCACCGCTGGTTGTGCGCGTGTGTAGCGGTTAGCGCGGTGCGCTATGAACCCGGCGACCCGAGTTTGATTGCCGCTCACGGCCAACACTAGTGACGATTATCTCAACCGTTCCTGGGCATCCCCTGGGTCGATTCAGCCTCAAATAAGTACCTGGTGTGGTGTGTAGCAAGCATCGCCACTGGGGAGACAAAGGCGGCCGGGCGTGGTGCTGAGCATTTCACCCCCTCGTGTGCCGTACCGGCATTCATAGGTACTCGCTAACAGCACGTGTCCCAACAGTGTGTTATGTCTATACGGGGGATCTTTGTTTTTTTGTGTCATCTGCCAGTAATCAAAGTTAATCCATAACACCTGGGTTTGTCCCGTGACCTCTTGTCTGCAGCGAGTGTTCGACAGTTCAGGTGTACTTAGCCTAGCGCAAGCGCTGTGCTGATGTCACCATCACTAAGTGGCAAATTGCGGTTGTTGTTGCCGCAGATAGTGGAGCTGTAGTGTAGTGGTTAGCGCACTGCGCTACGAAGCCGGTCCACCCGAGTTCAAATCCTGGCCACGGTAACCTCGGCGGTGATTATCTGAATAGGTCCTGGGCCTCTCCTAGGTGGAATGAGCATTAAATGATGACCTGGTGCTGTGTGTAAACCGCCAGCAGTGCTGGATTATCCCAGTAGCAAAAGTAGCTACATATGCTACGGGCTTCGCACTTTCAAGGGCCCCGCGCTAAATGATTTCAAGCTATCAATTCCGGTTCAGTGATTCTCCACTTGCTCTATTACCATAGTACTATACAGCCTTCAAATTTTATGAACGAAGGTTAGCGATTTGTCGTATTATCTGGCTGTATAGGAAATGAAAAAAATACAATTACTTGACAATACAAGTAAAAAAAAATGTGTTTTAATATTTGCGTGTTTTATTTATTTATTTAGGGCCGCTTCATAACATATGCTACAGTGCCCCGCACTCGCTTCATCCGGCATTGACCACCAGCACTGGGAGTACAGAAGCGACCGTGCATGGTGCTGTCCCACACCGTCTTCGTTTCTGCCGTCTCGGCCTTGATAAGTCGATGCTCGCAAACGGCACTTGCCCTAACATTCTGTTGTGGCTATATGGGGAATCTTTGCATTTGCGTATGTGTGTGCCAAAGAGCCCCCACGCACACATTACCATGCGGCTGGCATCTGCTTACAAGAAATATATCTGGTACCATGAGCGATAAACAATGCATGCCCATTGCCCATAACGTCGACTATTATGTATTTGTTTTCATTTCAAGGGCCACGGTGTTATTGATGGACGTGTTGAGTTATATACCTCAACAGATCTCTTCTAGAATTCAGAAACCTAATCTCAGTGACCAGTTAGAAAACAAATATAACGAAATGGTGTTGACAGTTGTATTTTTAAAAGTAAATATGGGGCCGTCTTTGGTTATTTTGTTACTATATTTAAACGAAACAACGAATCTCGGGTCGTGCGTTTATGATCATTTGCATAGAGCGGTGTTTTGCAGAAGTATTGTTAATCTAAATTGTATCTTTTTTATGAGGCGTTAATGCCTACTTTCATTTCCAAAGGCGGGTGGTGGGGGGGTTAACGACACATTTATAAAAAATTTTTTTACGGAGTTTCAGTTCAAACGACGAGTCGTTTGGTTGAACTTGGGAGATCCGGCGTCGTATAATGAAATAATACGAACAATATATCATGTTGCAATTCTTCAGTGTGGAGCCGCGAATTATCTACGCCCTCAAGCACGAGTGGAAATGTTTACTTACGTTGTGTGCCAGGTATTAATGGGCTTTGCATGCTGAGCCCTCCCGTGACGCGTGTAAACATATAGGTTTTCAACCCTCCCCAAGACGACGTCCGTAAAATCAATAGCAAGCGTATCGCGCATGTAGGACGGGCAGATGAGCTAATGTTTTACAATAATAGCATAACAACAATAATATTGAGTTCGTTTGTATCGTAGCATCATTTTTATGCAACTATATATTTTTGTAGGGGTTTTCTTACCGTACTTTTAACTCCTATTGCGTTTTTTTGTATTGTTTGTTGTAACTTTATGACCCGCCCCAACTTGACATCTGTGAAAAAGAGCTTTATAGCTCATCGGATTGCTCCGGAATGAATGAATATTCTGATTTTGAACTGCATCACATAACGCTGTGTAACCCACAAACAACGGAGGCGTGTAAAAATTAACAGTGCCTCAAAAAATGAAAATAAATAACGATGATTCAACCAATGGTTCATTTTCATAGTACACGTGTATTGCAAACTTTTTAGCCCATTAATGAGCGTTTTATAATGCACGTGGTGAGGAAATCGGAGCATCCGAAGAAAAACCCACGCGTGCGAAGGGGCAACACTCTATCCCAGTACAGATAGGACAGATTACATGATTCTTCATTTGCTGTACCGCCTACTCCTGGTGAGCCAGGGTACTGCACCGTTGATTGTGCCGAATTCCTGAACCGTGTCAGCCCAGTTTTTTTTCATGTGGCACAAAAATAACAGGTCCCTGCAGGGTGGGCTGGTAGGAACATTGGAATGTTGCGCAATTTTATTTTTACACCCCAACAGCACGAGATTTCACTTCGTTAAAGTATTGAAAGGGGACGGACGGACGGACACATTAATCTATTGCAGGCTGGTACACTCAGTTTACAACTTCGTTCCTACCAGTATAAGTGGCCAAATATTGTAACGTGCACAGATTTCAAAGAGATTTAGAGGCAGGGTAAAGGACAGACAAACGGGAAGGGACTCGGGGAACCCAGAGGAAACCCACGCAGAACAGCAGGCGATCGTATATACAACTCCACATAGAAAGGTCGAGGAATGGAACCAAGGCTCTTTGTGCTGCGGGGCACAAGGCGTTACCAATGCACGACCCTGTCGCCGCCAAAGAACATCCACAAAAATATATACGAAGCTCCTTAATCACAAGCCAAACATCATTACGCAACCCTGAAGCCGCTGGGGGGGGGGGGGGGAAACAAGCGAGTACGTTTTTGACAGGATTCGTAATCACCGTCTCAATCGAATGTCTGGAAAAGCCAAAGAACAATTCGTGAGGACAGCTTCGAAACAAAATCGAGGGGAGAGAAATCAAAGTGGGGAGGAGGAGGAGGAGGGGGTAAATGATCCCGCTTCAAGCAATGACATACCCGTGTATAATAATCTGCATCACCGTGCTTGAAAATTACATGTTAGAACAGAGATACAACTCCAGTTCTAACTGCTTAAGCCGTATTTATGGTAGAAATGGTAAAACTATTAAAATTATTATTCATAATCTTGATACTGGAAAAAAATATGTACGATCGATAAACATAACGTAGTATTTTATTATCATAATAAGAACCGAATTAAAGAGTTACATGAATGACAGGAATCCTATGTGAAACTGACTACATTTGCCTTGAGAAAGTACACCGGAATGAGACAAATTCATAACTAAATTGTCACTTTAATAGCGGATAGGATGGGTTTTTTTATGATGCAGTCATCGGTTGACAGGGCTAGGACTATTAACTCACTGCACCTTATGTAATCATGGGTGGCTGACTCTGGATTCATACCGAGGTACTCCGTGTCTGAATCTTGAGCCACCTAGCATTCACTGAGCACTCGCATTAGTAACTTTCCACTACATTAAGACCTACGACTTACAATGTTATGTTTGGACGATGTTTGGACGAATACATCAAATAATTTATATTTTGAGATTTGGGAGAAAAAAAAACGAATACACATTCGAAGGCCCGCAGAAACGGGTTGTCAACCAACCCCCTTATTCTGTGGCCCATTCTTCTGGGAGTAGTGCAGAACCAACGGGGTTGACAGCTTAACAATTGTGATTTAACGTGAACCACCAACCCTCGCGCCTCCTCCGAAGCGCAGGATCACACAGGCGGCGCTTATCACCGTAATCCGTGTATGGTAAAAGGGCCATCTTTGGTCAGAGACGCGTGCTCACACAAACACGAACATCTCTCCCCCCCACCCCCCGTATTGCCTCAAAAGAGTACTGGGGCAAGTGCTGTTAGCGAGCACACCTATGTATGTATGTTGATCTTCTTTCGCACCGTACGTAGCCACGCGTACTAATCGGAGGTGCGGCTCTGAAAACGGGCACGGCGCACGAGTGGGTGGGTGGGTAGCCAGTACCACGTCCGACCGGCTTTTGTCTCCCCAGTCGCGATGTTTACACACTGCACCAGGAACTCATCTGAGGCTGAGTCTACTTCAGGGGAGGCCCAGGATCGGATCAGATAATCGTCACTTGTGTTGGCCCTGAGCGGGAATGGAACTCCGTAGCGCAGGACGCTCAACACTACCACCACCGCTGCCCATAGACGCGCGAACGCACACAGACAGGCGCTGTGAGCAACAAAGACAATTCAGCACTTGGGCAACGTCTCTCGCTTAGGGCAGATTGACAGACAGAGAGGAGCGTGAGTGATCCCCTATCTCGTGCGCACTGCTAACCAGCACAAATCACACCCCATGTCAAACGCGTCTCTGCCATTTCTGCTGATGGGGAGCGGTAGCGCAGCAGTTCCTGCGTCGCGCGATGAATCCCCCGGTCAGAGTTCGATTCCCGCTCACGGCCACCAACATCAGTGGCGATTATCTGAACCGATCCTGAACATCCCCTAGGTCGACTCAGCATCAAATGAGTACCTGGGGCGGTGTGTAAACATCGCCACTAGGGAGACAAAGGCGGCCGGGCGTGGTGCTGGCCACCCACACCCTCGCGTACCGTTCCGGCCTTCATAGGTGCTCGCAAACAGCACTTGCCCCAACAGTCTGTTCAGGCTATACGGGGGATCTTTGTCTTTGCTGCTGCTGTAGGATGATGCGTGTAGTGGGTGGGCGGGCGGGCGAGCCGGCTCTGCGTTGCTGGATTTGCTATTGCTGCTGCTGCTATTGAGCAAGAGCAGAAATTGTATTCTTTTAATTTATTTATTTGCCTGCGCGCACAAAGCGAGAGAGAGAGAGCGAGAGCCCAGAGCGAGAGAGGGAAGGGACAGCGCAGAGGAGTTGATGTCTCTCTCCTGTTCAGCTCCGAATGGAAAGGCGTACGCGACCCTCAGCACCGTTACAAGGCAACAGCGCAGTTGTGCAGCGTGCAGACTAAGATGCATCACTCTTAACCATATTAATAATACAAAATACGATTACTAAATACAGTATACAAACACACCAAACCTCCTATCCGCCTGCACCCGAACGCGAGACCCGTTCTATAAATAGCGACCGAGTGGTAAGAATAGGGCGCGGGAGAAAAGAGTTAATACGCGCTGCAAAGCTTTCTATCTTTGGCGAATTTAACGGCGTGTGCACTTTCCTTAATGATCGATGTTTAGATAATAATACTAGTAATCGATATATATAAATAAAACGTAGCACCGGTTACACACCAAAAAGCAGCGCTCGCTCAAAGTCGTGCGTTCGACGCGTGCACAACACGGGGAGGAGACAGCGAGAGGCGCCGCTAACTCGCTCAACTCAACTCCCCACGCTCGCACGGAACGTCGCTCCGCACGTGCTCGCATGGTCAACATATTCGCTCGCTCCGGCGCCGGGGGCGACCTCTCCTTCGCCGTATGCACGGCCCGAGGAGCGAGCATGCCCCGAGTTCGTCTTCATTGATGGCCCTGCGCAGTGGGACCAACTACTGCCTGGGCCGTCTCTTGCGCATCACGGGCAGCCGCCGAGCCAGGCTGAGGCGCTCCAGCAGCCTGTTGTGCCTGTCCGCGTCCGCCGAGTACTCTCACCGGGGCTCCCCGGCAGGACACGGCACGGACCATGTTGCCCCGAGCGGGCCAGACAGACACCACAATCACCATCACCACCACCATCATCATCACCAGCAGCAGCAGCAGCACCACAACCAACACCGGCATCAACAACGCCTCCAGCAGCAGCAGCAGCAACATCAGCAGCAGCAGCACCGCCATCAGAAGCAAGATCATCACCACCACCAGTACCTGCAGCAGCGGCCACAGCACCAGCAGCAGGAATCTGAACATCAACGTCAACAGGAACACGACCACTACGACCATCACCACAATCAACTTCCGTATCACCACCTCCAGCAGCAGCAGCAGCAGCAACAACAACAACGGCAACACATCGAACAGCACTACCACCATCATCAGCAGCTGCAGCAGCAGCATCACGAATACGACATCCCTCGCCAGAGTTACTACCACACCGTCAATCACCATCATCCTAACCATCATCTCCATCAGCAGCATCATCCACAGCAGCAGCAACAACAGTACCAGCAACAGCAGCAGCAACAGCAAAGCCAATTCCTTAATTCCGAGTTATACAATCACCCCTACTTTCAGCAACACAATCAACATCATCACCATCCTCCTCATCCTCTTCATCCACAGCACTATCAATCACAGCAACAGCAGCAGCACCACCAGCACTTGCAGGAACTGCAACTGCGAGCCCTACAGCACCAACAGCAGCAGCAGCAGCATCAGCATCATCAGGCGTGTGCGGGCGGTACGAGGAGGAGACGGTGGGGGGTTTGGACAGCCCTGCTACGCTGGGGAACCAAGTGCCTGGAGAATTGGAGAGTTCGCTTGGCTGGGGCAATGAAACGACAGAACGCGCGCACTCTCACGCTCATCGCTGTCACCTTCGTCTATCTGCTGGTGGGTGGAAGTGTGCTGTGGGTGGGATGCTGCTGCTGGGTGCCGGGGATCTTGTGTCTGTCCGATAGGTCACACAGAGAGAGAGAGAGACATCGGCAGTGAACAGGAGGCCACGTGGCAGTCTGTCGGTGATGGGGTTTCTTCAGTTATGTTTATTCATTTATTCACTCGATTATTGTTTAAAAACACCACCTCCCTCACCGCGCCCCCCCCGGCCCCCCAGTGATAGCCCGTTGGGATTTTGGAAGTAATACCCACTAGAAGTGTAAAGGCGCAGCCCTGCAATGTCTTGCCCACGCCACTGCTGGCGGAAGGGCATCCACTATTTCTTTAGCGCTGTGTTTTTTTTATATTTAAGTTTGTTGTCCTTCTCCCGCACGTCCGAATAGCGCGGTCGACCACGTACGGTGTGAAAGAAGTTCAACAAACACACATCCACTAGAGGGAGCTCTAGAGAGAACCCCCCACCCATGGAGGGTCTTTGCTCCGACTCGTCCACGATGGCCACGCGTCGTGGAAGGAGGTGGGAAGTGCTCCAGCTTTACCCCGCCTCAAGCGACCTGTCGATCGATTAAAGTATTAAACGGTGGCGTGTCCATTTACACCGCTGGGCGGTGGATAAAGGCGGCGGTTGAAGGGTGTGGATGAGAGCCAGGCGTGTGTGGGTTGCGGGGATTTGAGCCTTGGCAAATTATTTCAACCGGCTCTGCCGGAAGATTGAGCTGGCGACCTCAAGATTTCAACATTGCAAGTCCGATGCGCTTTCAATCAATCTGCACGCTGAATTGACGATCGTTGATTTTCAGCACCTTTGTTCAATCTCATTGCTGCATGAATGCCTCCCCCACGCCTTGGTGGCCGTGGGGCTGTTTGACCATACTTCACCATGCTGGTCGGTGCGAGATCGTGAAATGGAGGGGGGGGGAGGGTGCTACAGATATCACTGACCAATGATGTCAGTCCTGGTAGGGAATCGAACTCAGGTAGCGAAGTGCGCGAACCCCTGCACCACTGATTTCCACTGGCCTCTGTATAGCAGCGATTGACGCGCCTGATCCCTCGAGTCGATAACGCGAGTTCCACCGTGAGAAGTTATTGCGATATGGACATACTTGCCCCCTCCCACACCTCCTGCCATCTTAACGTGGAATTTCCACCGGTGGCTGATGGCTGCTGACGGAGATGGGTGCCGCCCCATCGCTAGCCTGAGCAAAGAGACTCGTCGAGGAAACACACAATCCAATCGCTTGTGGCTCATGTTCAAAAGTGCCTTCTATCACATGTGATTACAACACACGAAGATAATCAACTCTCGCTCGTTATGTCACGGGGTCTTATGTCGCTGTAAGCCCCTTTATTTCCCGGGCACCTCCGATGAGCACAGTTGGCTAAGTACGGTGCGAAAGAAGTTCAACATACATAAATAAAGGTGTCTAGCGTAACGTCCACTTCTCAGCTGGGGGTGCGCACTTGTTTTTGTCGGTTCCGAGCTTGCAGTGAATCGCCGAGTGCGGGAATCGAACCGTGTTCTCCATCGGAAGCGGCTTAGTGGCGATCCCCGCTGAGCCACTTGGCTATGAACTCGTCCCAATGCACCGTCTGTGCGCCAGCCATTGCCTCGAGGCAAGATCGCGAAAGAGGCAGCCGTGACGGTGGTGATGGTGGTTTCGCACGCCTGTTCTCCAACTTTTTTTTGGGGGGGGGGGGGGGGGGTGGGCAAGGGATGGCGGATCGCAGGCAGATCGGGTTGTGAAACCTCCAAATTCTGCTGTTGTTGCGATGAGATCGCTGTCCAGCAGGTGGGTTTGTGAACCTGTGTGTGCCGACCTTAGTGTCTTTTTTGTATCACTTTGCATGCTCAGCCTTTCCTGTTAGTCCAGGTTATTCCTGCACACACTGCTTAGTAAAAAAAACAAAGGATTTGGCCAAAATCGTAATGTAGGACCCTCCTCAAAGCAGCAACATTTGTTTTACAAAATCATTGCAATATTTGGTCCATTCAAAGTAATAATCCACCCGCGTGGGCTCGGCAGTAGTGCAAGCAGCTCGCAATCGGAAGGTTGCGATTTCAAATCCTGATTGATCGTTGGCTCAGCCCATCATTCAAATTAGGGTCGATAAAATTGTACCACATTGTCGGGCAAATCAATTGTGGTTGTCCTAAAGAGTATATCAAAATCGCTGACGTCATTTACAGCTCACTCAAATCGGGTTACCTTCACTGGGAGGCATGGTCAAAGTTCGCCTTCAGCGACATATTGGCGAACATGTTATTATAGCGTGATGCTCATCGACAGTAAGAAAGGGGTGTTGGCAGCTGAATATATGATTCTGGCCTTTATCTACCCGTAAAATACTCACTGAGATATGAGATATTAACTACCTCGCCTGGTGTACAGGAGGTCGTGGGTTCGATCCTGTCCCCGACGTCTGTATATTTGAAGTTTGCATGTCTCTCTCTTGGTAGCATGGATTTTTCTCCCAGTCCTCTGGTTTTTCCCTCCACATTTATAAACATGCATTTAGAGCATTTGGCTTGCATACATTTGCACGTGATAAGCCACCTGGTTGAGTTATTATTTGCGGCTTCTGTAAAAGAGCTGTTATAGCTCAGTGGGCCTTACCTGGTAAATTAAAGAAATGTTTATTTTCTAAATCACGCCTTCTCATTGCATCCATTTGCCTGTAAAACTGATAGCACTGCGAGTTTAAAGACGGTCCCTCAATATTAACCGGTTGCTCGACAGAGTTGAATCATTGCGTTAAAGCCAATACACACAGAGCACGAGCTGATGCTGAGCTACCTGTCAACATCAACAGAGTCGAATGAGATTCTCAGCTGTTGACTTTTACACCAAAACTAACAACGTGAGAAGGAGGGTGCCATTCCAGAAAAAAGAATGTAACATCACGTTTCCATATACATATTCGGTGGCTCCCTAATGTACACACAAACATCCCCTGTAGAGCCTGTTACAGACTGTAGGCGCAAGTGCTGTTAGCGAGCACCATGAAAGCCGACACGGCACACGATGGGGGTGAGTGGCCAGCAACACACCCGGCCGCCTTTGTCTCCCCAGTGACGAATTTTAAAACCGCCCACGGTGCTCTTTTGGAAGCTGAGCCGACTTAGAGGAGGCCCGGGACCGGCTGAGATCATCGTCACTGGTGTTGGCCGTGAGCAGGAATCGAACCCGGGTCCGCCGGTTTCGCAGCGCGACGCACTAACTGCAGCGCTGCCGTTTCCCACAGCACGGACACACACACACACGCACATTTACCTATCATCATACTTAGCCATGGTATATCTACTGCCTGGGTGAGGGCCTGCCTGCAACGTCGCCATGCAAAAAAAATGCCACGTGTCGTGCCACTGCTGCGAATGCACTGATCTAATCGTTCGGTCTCAGATGTACGTACACAATGCGTTTCATACACACACACAAACATGATTCTCATTACTACATCTCTGTGGTGTTCGTGCTCTTGCGTGCAATTCTTTCCTCTGGTTTGCTGCTATTCCATCACCAGTCTTGTCCGCTGGCCATCGTTATCATCATCATCATCATCATCTCCGATCACGATGGGTCTTGCCCGAGCCCGTTTATTGTTCTGGTCCATTTGCCTCCTCTCTTTAAATCTCGGTAAATCTGAGAACGTATCTCTCCACGGACACTTTTGTGCCTACATCGGCGTTCCCTTCCCATGATCATTTTGTAGCTCATATTATGTATTCACTGAAAGCTAAATTACGTTAACTCTTACACTTTCCGTTTCCGGGAATTTCGTTAACTCTTACCAGTTGTAAGCCCTTACCACTCCGCTCACAAAGCCACGATAATCACCCTGTAATGTTTAACCCTGTCGGATCTCAGAGGCGAAGCAGGGGTGAGCCTGGTTACCATCCAAGTAGTTGCCTATTTGGATGGTATCCGCGAGATGGCAGGGACAGCGGTGGATTGTCGAATCCACCTGTGCTGAGCTTTGAATGTGGTGGGATTTCTTTGAAGCACGCCAGTTACACACACTCGTTTTATATTTATGGAATTGGACAGACTTCCTTATACAAGACCCTCCTGTGTATTGACAGTCGGCGAGGCTTTCTTGGAGAATGTGACATTTGTTTGTTATTTATTGGTGTATGAATGCAGAGGCCCATATAGAAACTTCCCAGGGGCAGTGAGGGGGGAGAAGATTGTCCCAAAAGTCCAAGTTTTTAAATCGGGCCCTACATTAATAATTAAAACATCCATTGTATTTTCTCTTGAAAGTATCAATAAAAAGCACATTTTCATGGTCTCAAGGTAGGGGTGCTGTCATCCCCCATTAGCGCCCCTCCCCTATTTGATTCACCGCTGTATAGACGTGTTGTTTTAAATCTTCAGGTCTTCATTTCTCACTCGATCCCTTCTGGAATGTTGCTAGGCTGGCTTGAAAGCAATGATACATCGCCATTCAGGCATTTCTTCTTCTTCTTCCGTACGCATTAATAGCAGCAGATCAAAGATGTAATATTAGATGTTGTTATCCACTCAATTGTCTGTTCAGAAGCAGAGTGGATCTCGTCCCATTGCTCCTTTAAGTTAGTGAAGACTGAAGCAGCGGCGAAGCGTTTACGATGCGCGGGTCGACGGTGGTTTGGGATTCGTGGCCACACCACTTGCTGGCCGCCGAACCTTCGATAGCGCAATTTGTGGTATCGCCACGTGGCCCGGCTCCCTGATTCGACTGATGATCGACAATTGGCGACGTGGAAATTTTAAACCGCGAGGTTCGATGGCAGGGTGCTGCATGAGATGTTTATATATTTTTTTTTTACATCCGCCACACTACCAGAAGAGAGTGTAGGGTACGCCTACACATAAGAATCCGATATTATTGTACTTACATTCTTATATTGCCAGGAAAATATGTATATTTTAAAAAAAGAATTCATAGATGCATGGACTCACCGATGTTGTCAGTGGGAGGAGGGGCCAAAATAAGTCTCGGAACAGCGT